CAACAGTCGCATCAATATCAGTTTATTTTTTTCACTAAAGGTATTTGCGAAAGAGCAACGTTCATATATGACACTTGACACATTGCATTAAAAGCTACAATCGACTGTCAGCAAATGTATGTGATCAGATTGATTTGTAAAGTTTCCTATGGATGGCTTTGCGGACTTTCCAATGATCTCGTTACTTACATAGTAGTTTATGTTACTTTTAAAGTTCCATATAAGCTTTAATGCAACGGAATAAAGTGCATTTTGGTGAACGAAACGATTCGGACAGCGTGAAGGGTAGAAAATATATATCACTGTAAAATTGATGTATTGCTTTGGTATTATTTAGGTTTTTGTGTCATAACTAGATGCATAATTCACAAGTTGATATTTTATAACCAAGAATTGCGGGTTAAAGCGACCATTACATAGTTTTTATCGACGATTTGCCTGTTGGTCGTAAAAACTAGCGGCTCAACACAAAGTGTTCTCAATTTCCTTTTCACAAATAATAAATTTATTTAAATATCATGGCCAATCACTCGTTTGTGGTCGCTCGATCATATCTAATCTTTTAAGCCAATAAGAACGAATCTGAACAATCGAAGCTGCGTTATTGTAAAAATTCGAGCCGAACAACGGATGTATATCTGTATTTCACAATTATACCGTTAAGATAGTTTCCTAAAATAAATTGTTGGAGTCACGAACTCCCGTGCGACCGCTGTGACCTTTCGAGGTCCCTCTTTCACGGATAAGGAAATAATCCGATGTCATTTTACTGAAAAAAAAAACGAAGTTCTGTTATGTTTAACTGTACTTATTTAATTTTGATTCTAACTCTAATAACGAAGTGAATTATGAAAGAGGGTGCAATACGAAATGTTTGTTAGGATGGAGACCTATAGCACCCGGTACACTCTGCCTACCCTATGTGTAATGTGGCGTGAAGATAAAACCGTTGCTTTTTATTGAGAGATATTTATATTTAAGCGTTTACATTTTAAATCTAATTTAGCATATTATATATTATTCTAAGTTACCTAATAAAATTGAACACGATCTCTAGTCGCAGCTGAACGCAATGTTAAATAAACATTAGTCATAAATAGTTAATAAACAGAATTTTAGTTCAGAATTTTAGTTGTTGTGTAAAAAAAAACGCCGATTTTAACAAAATTAATAATACTAGTAATGTCACCATTATTATCTTAAAACAAATAGTATAGTTATTTAAATATTTAAAATATTAGAAGTCGGGGGGGGGGGGGAAGGGATTGTTAGTAATGGAGACTGAGAATCCCATTGCTAGCAATATACCTAACCAGGTCGACCTCCTCGTAATTCCCCCTGGAAACTATCATGTTTAATTCCTGATGAATTCATCATGATGGGCTAACCGGCCTGTTTTCATTCTTATCTATCACCCTTCACTGGTGCTCCGCCAGCGTATCCCGTTAGCGCAGGCGGGGTTACCATACCATTTTCACCCATTAAAAAAAAAATTAGAAGTACCTATTATGCATAGAGATATGTATAATCTTTTCAGGTGTATTAGGTATCATTTAAATATGTTATATTGTCTAATATCAATGTTATTCTCGTATTGTATCTGTAACTATTTTTCTACTTTTTTTTTTTAATTAGCTATTATTATTTTTTGTCACCACCAATTCACAATTTCTATCCGATATTCAAAGGTTGACTGGAAGAGATCCCTTTTATGGGATAAATCCGCCTTTGTACTAATTTTTTTCTTAAGAACTGTGCATTCTATAATTTAATATTGTACTGTACAATAAAGTTTTATAAACAAACAAACACATCGATTAATAACTAGATATTTCGCAGATATAAATAAATATTTTCGTTTCAAAAATCGTGTGTCTATATAAGTAGGCTTTGCTTCCAATAAAGCAGGATTTTTTACCTAACTAATCTACTCTAAAGATCCGTTTTTATCGTAAAATTCAAATTAAAATAATTTTAAACGCATTGCTCTGTCTAGACGTGTCGATTGGATGATTGGTTAAAAAAGTGGTGATTCAGAATTTTAGTTCTCGTGTAAAATCTCTTTCTGATATTTTTCCACTTCTATAGATCTTCAGTATTAAAGAGGAAATCTTGGGAACTTATTTATTTATTATCCATATATAATTTTTATTAAAATAGGCGCGATTATAAGCATTTTAAAATCGCCATTTTTTATTTATGCAGGGTTCGGGAAGTTGTTATCTGTTGAGAAGAACCCGCAAGAAAGCAAACAGTTACGCTTTTAAATCTCTGTTAATATTGTATGTATTTATTGAAATATACTTTATCTAAAATTATATGGTTGATTTATAGTTGATTGTTTAATTATATTAGCTCAATTCTATGAAAACTGTATAATATTATGCAACGTTGTGCTGCAGTGTAAGTAGGGGCCCAGACTTTGCGGCGAGTATCTGGGCCACTGCAGGCCTGCCCTACATTCCTTTATTGTTTTGTTTTTCATCTACATGGAAGTGAGTTACGTAGGGGATGAGGTCTAAATCTAACAGCTTAAGAATGTATAGACACGAGACATATTCTTAGAACTTTATTTAGAAATAGAAAATTTTTATTGAAATAGACTTGTTTAAGGGGGAAAAGGATTGTTAGCAATGAAGTTTGACAGCCCCATTGCTAGCAATATAAGGTATATTGCTAGCAATGGGGCTAGGTCGACCTCCACGAGGTTCCCCCTGGAAACCATCGTAAATAATTCTCGTTGAATTCGTCACGATGGGCTAACTGACCTACTTCATCCTCACCTATCATTCTTCACTGGTGCCTCGCCGGTATATACTGATAGCGCGGGTGGGGTTACATTATCATCCATTTAAAAAAAATAGACTTGTTTACAAGAACTTTTTAGTCGTAAATTTTTTAAGATAATATACCTGGGTTTGGGATGTTATTATCTGTTGAGAAGTACCCGTAAGAAACTCAACAGTTACTCATTTCAAATTATTATGTACAAGACAATTTTGTATTTGCATGGGTACTCTAGACTGTAATTAGAATTAAGTTCTATTTATACATGCTATAAAATTTAAAATAAACAAGCAAACATGAGCAGACCACTCTCTACAAGCAGTACCCATTCACGAGTATGACCAATTAGCCAGCCATCATTGGGCTCAACCATATTTTGGGGAACTCACCGACCTGGCCCATTACGACGTCACCAGTCTGTACCTTATAATGGGCATGACTAGCTTCAAGTTAGTTATATGTTTTTATACATTCACTCTTAATATAGATGTTTTGGTACAATTGTATAAAACGTAACATCTAATCAGGGCCTACAATACACAGATCACAGATAGTATTTTATAAATCATGTCGTTAATTAAATTATATATATATATATATATATATATATATATATATATATATATATATATATATATATATATATATATATATATATATATATATATATATATATACATATATATACATATATATACATATATATATATGGAATTGTGATAAGTTACTACGAATTTACGCACGTAAGTTACATGACCTGGCTGTTAGAAAAATTTTATGTCATTGTCCTTTTATAGAATTTAAAATGGCAAACAAGCTGACGGCCCACCTGATGGTAGAAGTGGTAACCTATAGACATGAACAGTACATAATATATACAAAGAGTTATCAAATTATTTTGAAAAATTATGCAAAAACTTTCTATTTTACATACCTACTATTTTTGTTCTCTATGTTTCAAAATGTTACTTCACTGTTGACAAGAGATGTCACTAGTGAACAGAATTAAGTGTACACCATTCCTTAACGTTTTTTTTTTTCGTAATTATAGCTTTATATTTTACAAATATAGTAAACGAGTAATGTCAGATTTTAAAATACAGACTCTATGTTTAACCTACATACGACTAGAACATTTGTCGTTCCACTTTGGCTTACTTGCGGATTTTTCAATAAAAACGCGACGACTTCGCGGAATAGCAATTTCATAATTTCAAAAATACTACTCAATCGCAACTCTGTTCAATTCTAAGAAAATGTAAAATTAAGCTTAAGTAGTCTTGAGTTCAATTTTACTTACATTGTTGTAACAAATAATCGTGGTAAAAACACGTTTATTATGTATATTAAATATTGATTATAATTATTCAATACTAACTGTAACCCGTAGCTTTGCACGCGTAAATTATAACGAGTATTAAGTACCAATCACCATCATCATCATACATACATACATACATATCTGTCACGCCTGTCTCCCATTAGGGTAGGCAGAAACAATGGAACGCCAAATGCTTCGATTCAAACAAACCTCTTTCGCTTCTTCCACATTCATCAATCTTTTCATACACGCTCGCCGGTTACGGGTATTTTTAATCTGGCCCTTCTTTAGCACGTCGCCTATTTGGTCAACATATGTCCGTCTAGGGCGGCCCCTACTGATATCTCCATTCATTCTTGCTCGATAAATCTCTTTCGTAATTATTCTCTCATCCATCCTCTCCAAATGACCAAACCGCGATTTTTGTCACTACATCGTCTTTCAGTCCACACTTCTCTATAATCACACTGTTTCTTACTCTATCTTTTAATGTAATACCACACATACTTCTCAAAGCTCATCATCATATCAGACGTTAATTGTACAGTGTACACTGATGAACATAATACTCCCCCTTGTGGGGTTCTGCCAGTAGTTGCCACGCTTGGCAGATATGTTGGCAACTGCAGTTAAGCTTTGGTGATGTTTTAAGGACGCTGCTGCCCATCCCTCGACTTTTAAAATCTTTTAGTCGCCTCTTACGACACATACGGAAAAGGAAGAGGAAAGAGATACCGTGGAAATAGCAATATATACTCTATTTTTAAAGTCATACACATGAATTTTGAAAAAATCTTCGTCTGATCTGATTTACCTTGAGAACGCTTACTTTATTGTAGACAATTGGATAATATTATGCACGTTACTTATAAAGAGTTCAGTTTCAACTTACCACCACAAATGACGTCAGCTAAATTAGTCTGCACACATTGATGCGTCACGGCGCCGTCTCGAACCGTGGTGATCTCCCCGTACAGCTGATGCAGGGCCTCCTGGTCCGACATGAGGATGGTCCGAGGGGACGGACAGTCTTCTTCATGATTACTGGTGTGACGCCGCGAGGATGACCTTGACCGGGAACGTCGGCGTCTGACAGATAAACATTAGTATTTAGTAGGGATGAGTAATATATAGCAATATTTATATATTGTACAAAAGTCGTTTGCTTGGGTACCTCTGTCCCATTCGTGTTTCAACTGTGAAGCAGTTGTGTTTGCATGGCTGTGTTTCGGTTTATAAGGGTGGGATTTGGCGTGAATTTACTGGGTACAGAGGAATAACACCTGAATCCTCAGGAAAGGCAACACATGGGTGGTATCATGGGCGAAACAGTATACTATGTTATGTCCATGGTACTGCTCATGTCTATTGGCAATGGTTACCACTTTCCATTAGGTGGGCCGTCAGCTTGTTTGCCATTCTAAGTTGTATAAAAAAAAATTTTTATATCATTAAGGTGGCAAGTGACACAGACCCCCATGTGGCATCACAGAAAATTCAAGCACAATTAGATCAAGTTGATTATTGGTTGGATAAATGGCGAATAAAATGCAGTACAGAGAAATCCCACCACATTACATTCACATTAAGAAAGGGAGATGCAACACCGCTGCAAATGAAGGGACAAAATCTACCAAAAGTAACAAGTGTTAAATATCTGGGAATGCACCTGGACAGAAGACTCACTTGGGCAAAACATATTAAGACTAAGAGAACTCAGGCAAACCTGGAATGCAAAAATCTATCATGGCTAATAGGAAGAAATTCAACACTATCATTAAACAACCGAAATGTATAATTTTTTCCGCCATCGATGTTCAGAGAAACCCAATATATAGATACCGGAGCGGTATCGATATAGCTCATGCCTAGTATTTAGTCTACTAATCATGAAAAAGGATTCGCCTAATTTCGGTTCAATTTCAACGAAACAAATATAGAGTGAAGTAGAAATTTATTTAAATTAGTAGTTTACTTAGGATAGAAATTACACGAAGAAAACATTCAAAAACGAAAAACAAAAAAAAAACTGTGTTTATCAGTGTTATACCTGTAATATATATGTAAAATTGATTACGGTTACTTCTAAACGTCTTTTCTGGCGATAAATTTAAATATTCACGTCAATTCTTGTCATTATGATACATTCCATTTAATATTTCGTATATTTTACTAGTGACCTGTCCCAGCTTCGTACATGTAGTTAGTGTAGAGATTACTATTTTTTTTTTTAATAAAATATATGCCATGTTACTAATTTATAATGTAGTTATCTATAGATGAAAGAAGTTTTAAAATTAATTATTATTTGAGTTTAATCATTATAAACAAAAAATTAAATCTTTTCTCTTCATAATTTTATAGTTTACATATAAAATAAAGTTATAATAGAAAACAAATTCTATTTTCATAATAAAATGTACACATAAATATAAATAATAATATGTATAAAATAATATTAGATAGATAGATAGATACTCTTTATTGTTTTCTTCAAAAGATTACAATAGTAAACTTATTATAAATATAAATAATTACAGGAAATAATCACAATGAGAAAACAATGGGCGACCTTATCGCTAAGAGCGATCTCTTCCAGGCAACCTTTGGATGGAGAGGAGTAATTATAAACAATTTGGTGGGAGGCACGATGAAAATTTTTGTTATTTATCTCTCTCAATATTAAAATATAATGGAGTATAATGCTATATTCCACCGTCTATCTAAATATTTTCCAACAAATATTCTCCAAAAACATATGTGTAATTTAATATAATGATCATAAATAATCAAAGACTTATCTGTACATTCTAATGCATTTTTTTATCGTTAATAACTTTTTTTGCAATGTATTTCACATTTTAGACGCCGCTCTTTTTGATCAATATGGCACTTTGTTTCATTGAAATAAAGTTGAATTTCATACTCGGATTGTTGCAATTTTAATCCAATAACCGGATCTTTGGTCGCCAAAGTGGCGTCAGCATTTTTTTTTAATATTTCTTCTTCATCAGAAGAGCGTGATGTTTTTTCTTGTATACTGATTTTAGGGATATATAATCACATAGATGTGGTTCAGTGATTTAACCATTATATTATTGGATAATACTATAGAATTTGCCCGTGTGGTTGTGGCCGTGGTCCCAGCATAGAATGGACTACCCCTTCCTATCCCGTGGGTGTCGTAAGAGCCGATAAAGGAGGGCTAGGGATGGGCAGCAGCGTCCCTCTTAAGACATCTCTAAAACCTGACGGCGGTTGCCAATCCGCCAACCAAGCATGGCAACTACCCCCAAAGGGGGAGGCTTATGTTCAGCAGTAAACAGTTAAAGGCTGATATGATGATGGCTATAGAATTGGAACCTATATCTAGAGCTATATATGTAAAGAACATTTTGGATTATATTTACTCGTATCTTAGTTGTTCAACGATTAGACATTCTATTCTATTGTAAAACTTAGCGTGTGCAGTGAAAGTTAGTATAATCATCATCATCGTCATCATCATATCAGCTGTCTACTGTTGACTGCTGAATATACTAGGGTATATATATATAGGTTTCACCTAAAAGAAGGGTTTTGCTAGTACTTTACAACCTTGGTTGGCGGATTGGCAACAGCAGTTACCTTTGCTGATGTTCTAAGAGGGACGTTGTTGCCCATCCCTCGACCATGAAGTACCTTTAGTCGTCTCTTGCGACAACCACGGGTAAGAAAGGGGTGGCCTATTTTATGGGTGACTTTAATTTTCTTTTTCCTCTTTTCGACGAGTCTTTTTTAAATAAGAAACTACTTTAAAAGATTCTAGTTTTAAAATTTCATTTCAACACACACAAGCAGTGTTTTAAACACATAGACAAGGTTACAATAAATACAATACATACTATCAATATCAATCAAGATGCTGAGAATATAATTAATAGATAACTATGATAAAACCGATAAAGTACGATTGCAAAACGTCCATTTTGAAATCACACCTACAGTGGGTAATTAACGAGTAAGTAAATGGATGAAAAATGAGTTTTTGAGGTACTGGAATTTGGAAGGACAAGACAAGCGTGTCAAGTGCACCTACATGCGCTTGTAACACCTACATTATGACAATTATTGCAATTCAACACGCAATATTAATAAATTAAGCAGCTCAATAATTTGTTTACAATACTTTAACGATACTGTGTTGTAATAATACAAAATAAAATACAAATTATACTGTTTCTAAAATATGAGCAAAAGTGGTAATTTTCTTTATAATGTTTGACACGAAGTAGCGATTTGTTTGTTGTTTAAAGTAAACAATGGCAATGAGTTTTTTTTTTTTTACATATTATTTAAATGACTATATGTATATTACTGATGATTCTAAAATTATGAATAAATTAAGCTTTTCCAATTAATTTTAAAATGGAATTTTAATTTGTTTTTGGCGATCCTATGGAAAGCCGTTGAAAAGACACATTTTCCAAGATTCTCTGTTGTCCATTTTATTACTGCTGCAGATTTCAGTCACACTTCTTATTCTTATGCCATTAAACATTATATAATGCCACAATAATACATACATTATTTATAACAGAAATATATAAAATCGTGTCTCCTATTTAAAAAAAAACTCGCACAAATAAATACTTTATAGGGGGGAAAGCGATTGTTAGCAATGGAGTTTGACAGCCCGATTGCTAGCAATATGCCTTATTAGGTCGACCTCCACGTGGTTCCCCTTGGAAACCATCGTGAACAATTCTTGTTGAATTCGTCACGATGGGCTAACCGACCTACTTCATCCTCACCTATCATCCTTCACTGGTGCCCCATTGGTGTATACCGATAGCGCAGGTGGGGTTACCATTCCATTATCATCCATTAAAAAAAATACTTTATAACAATATACAAATACAAAATAGATTTCACTATGTTTAGGCCTGTTTCTAGGAAAGAAAGATACTAATCTACTGTTACAGCCTTCATTTGTAATGGTATATTAACTTACCTAGACTCACTATCATCTATCACCACACATTGTCATCAGCGTGTACCGATAACGCCGGTTTTTTTTATAGATGATAATGGAATGGTAACCCCGCCTGCGCTAACGGTATACGCTGGCGGGGCACCAGTGATAGATGATAGGTGAGGATGAAAGCAGGTTAGTTATCCCATTGTGACGAACTTCACAAGAATTTACCATGATGGTTTTCAGGGGGAACCGCGTGAAGGTCGACCTGATGAGGTATATTGCTAGCAATGGGGTTATTAGACCCCATTATTAACAATTCTTTTCCTACCGACAACACCGGGGTTAACATTTCATTTTCATCGTAAAAAATAATAGTACCTAAAAATTATGTTACATATTGAAGTCAACCACCAGCAGAAGGGGGAAAGGAATTGTTAGCAATGGCGTTTGATAGCCCCATTGCTAGCAATATGCTCTATCAGGTCAACCTCCACATGGTTCTCTCTGGAAACCATCGTGAACAATTCTCGTTGAATTCTTCACGATGGGCTAACTGACCTGCTTCATCCTCATCTATCATCCTTCACTGGTGCCCCGCTGGTGTATACCAAAAGCGCGGGTGGGGTTACTATTTTATTATCACCCATAAAAAAAAAACACCACCAGAGAATTGGGTTTATTTATAGTAGTAACTACTTACAAAGCCATACCACAACGTCAATTATTCACGCGTCATTTCGTAGCCAAATCGGTGCCGCCATTTTGAGTAAACGCGCGCAATGTCAAGTTTAGTGCCAAAAATGGTAAGTTTACTCATCAGTATGCTGGGTGCGTGCGTTTGCACAACATGTCCAAAGAGTCCGCACACGGCGACATCTCGAAATGGCGTTGTGAATCATCCATCTAAAGATTTTATACATATGGAACGCGCGATGTGTGAACCGACTTGTTGACTTGAAATAATCTTGTACTGTTTGATTACATTATTAAGCTGTGGCCAGACATGTGTAATGTAATATATCGTGTAATGTAATACAATCAACGCTATAAACGTTAAGTGTAAAGATAAACTTAGGGCAAAGAGCAATGACTAAGAGTTATAGGACATAATATCAGTTCAGATGAAAAAAAAAAAACAAAATACAAAATTGTTTTTGAATGCAGTCAACCAATAAAACATAATGGTCCATAGTTACACTCAACAAACAATAAAGTAGAATAAGAACAAAAAATTACTCAATTCGTCTATATTCCTCTATAAAGTCGTCCCGACAGTCGTGGTGATCCGCTGTCAAAATTTATAAGGGCGATTGCAATGTTTGTTCACATTGTTTGTGTTACATTACGCGTTACAGATTACACTTGTCTGCTCGCAGCTTTATAACACATCGACACGAATTCATCAAATGATTAAAATAGAAAGTATGTTTTATGATTGGCAATATAGCTGTAATTAGAATAACCAAATATAGACCTTAGGTATATTTGAATAAAATCATCAGATGCCTGTTGAAGATTGTGGTAATAGATGATATTATAGATTATTGATGGCGATGTAACACTGGCCTTATTTAATTAATGTAACCCTTCTAATGATTCATAATGGACAATACCCATAAAGTTAGCATAAATTCTGCGTCCATAATTACTATGAATAATTATCATTTACTTATCTAATTGTAAAGTCAGTTTCATATTTAGATTCAAGTTTTTACGCGTCAGTATGTGTATTATTTATAATAAAATAAATTGATTTACTAAATAACTAACTGTATGAAATTAGAGATTTTCAAAGACAGGAGTATTTTATGCGAAATAAACCAATAGTAAGAAGAATAATTCATATAATCTATACTAAATATTAGTTACAACGGTATACTTAGTTATAAAAGTTATACAATAGTAACATAATATAGAGGAAAGACCTAATTTTTTATTCGTAATGAGTTAATTAAAAAAATACTTGACCGATTATTTTAATTCTTTCGCCTATGAAAAGTTATTACAATATATATTACAAGTTACATATATATTATAAGTTATTACAACTATATCAGTGAGTGACTTGAGCTGTATTTATTAAAAAATGAAATTAAAGCCATTTTACAATAGAAAAAGAAAAAGATGTGTACTGGCTTTATTTTAACACAAAGGAAGTAACCAGCGGGTCTACCATGAAATGAAATTCCGAAATTTCGGACTGAATTTCGTGTTTTTGTTTATACCAAAATCGGACCAATAAATGGAGTATAACATTTTGTTCGTCATACATCCTATCATAAAAGTCAAAAGGAACAATATTTTAACATTTTTAATATTTCCAAACGGCATGTATTATGTAATTTTAACATCAAATTTCTGTTTCGTTTGGCTCCGAAATTTCGAAAAACAGTTCATAGTAGGCCCTCAGATAATATAAATAATGTTAAATAACTGAACGAAGAGAGAAAAAGTAGAAATCTTTTCTAAACAGCATAAATAATCGATAAGTATGAGTGACAAATATACCAATAAATTGTAAATGATTTGGACATTTTCAATCAACACACAAAAGTACAAAAGTCGTTTTCTTAGGCACCTCTGTCCTATTTTTGTTTCTACCGTGAAGTAATTGTGTTTGCATGGCTGTGTTTCGGTTTGAAGGGTGGGATATGGCAGTGAATTTTCAGGGTACACAAGATTAATACCTGAGTCCTCAGGAATGGCAACGCATGGGAGATATCATGGGCGAAACAGTATACTGTGTTATGTCCATGGTACTACTCGTGTCTATAGGCGACGGTTACCACTTTCCATCAGGTGGATCGTCAGCTTGTTTGCCATTCTAAGTTGCATAAAAAAAACATATTTTATATATTTTCTTTTTATTTCTATACATTTTTTTACCTAGACCATCAGAATATTTAGACCTATGTCTTTAAAGGCCATGAAAATACTTACTCAGGTGTGACTATGAAGAAACCTCTCGACGTCTGATAGATCTTCCGCTCCTGCATCAGCTGCGCCAAGGTGTCGTACACGACCTCTTGGGATGGTGTTTGCATCGAGGGAAATTTTGCAGACAGCGATGTTCGTACACTTTCTAAAGTTGCGGATTGACCCTGAGAACAAAAATAAATGGGATTAAGCAAAATAAATACTACGCAATAAGTAATACCTTATTTACAGGAGGGACCGCGAGGTGGTCGACCTGACAGGTAATATTAGTAGTGTTAGGGCTAAAAGTTTCCATTACTAACAATTCCTACCCCTATTCAATATTACTTAGTAGAAAAGGAAGGGATTGTTAGTAATGCGGACTATCAGTCTCATTGCTAGCAATATACCCTGGTGGTTTTTTTTGATGGGTGAAAATGGTATGGTAACCCCGCCTGCACTAACGGGATACGCTGGCGGAGCACCAGTGAAGGGTGATAGATGAGAATGAAAACAGGCCAGTTAGCTCATCATGATGAATTCATCAGGAATTAACCATGGTAGTTTCCAGGGAGAACCGCGAGGAGGTCGACCTGGTTGGATATATTACTAGCAATGGGATTCTCAGTCTCCATTACTAACAATCCCGTTCCCCCCAGCGTATACTATTAGCGCAGGCGGGGTCCCATTTTTTTTTAATGGATGGAAATAGCATGGCAACCTCGTCTGTACTATCAATGTACATTGGCGGTGTACTGGAGGATGAAAAGGCAGGTCAGTTAGCCCATCGTGACTAATTCAACGACCAATTTGTCACGATAGTTTCCAGGAGGAACCGCATGGAGGTCGACCTGATAGGGTATATTGATAGCAATGGGGACTAACCTCTCCATTACTAACAATCCCTTCCCACCATCCATAAAAAAAACATATTACTTAGTAAAAACGGACTTTCGAAAAATAATTTCTAATTCAATTAAATTACTTAATTAAGGAAATTGAAGATATATCATACAACATGTTTAAACGGACGTATTTTATTAAAATAACACCATTATACTACTTTCTTTAATGTAAAAAAAACCTTCTAGTGTAATAACCAGTATTTATTTAGTCCAATTTATTGATTATTATTATTTGTACTCAGATTGACACATCGAAGGCAAAACGTGTCATTTTACATACCTAAGTAGATAATGTTTGAACACGTGTATTTTTTTTATACGACTTAGTATGGCAAACAAGCTGACGGCCCACCTGATGGAAAGTGGTAACCGTCGCCTATAGACATGAGCAGTACCATGGACATAACAGAGTATACTGTTTCGCCCATGATACCCCCCATGCGTTGCCATTCCTGAGGACTCAGGTGTTATTCCTCTGTACCCAGTAAATTCACGCCATATCCCACCCTTTAAACTGAAACACAGCCATGCAAACACAACTGCTTCACGGTTGAAACACGAATGGGACAGAGGTACCCAAGCAATCGACTTTTGTACAATATAATTTATAATCTATATATTACAGTTACAATATCTATATATCGGCCTAGTAACGAATGTATTAAATCTCAATTATCTAATATATAATACTGAAATAAAGTACCCGATTGAGAAGAATACAGATAACTGGTATGGGCGATATCATAACAGATGATGACCTTTTTACCTCCATCATTGTTAAGAGGAATCCTATATATAGATATCGGAGCGGTACCGATATTATCCAACCCTATTTTACATTAAATTCTAACAGTGGTATTTGGGGGGAAGGGATTGTTAGTAATAGAGAGGTTAATCCTCATTGCTATTGTAAGTTGTAAAAAAAAATATTACCCATCTGTAGTATAAAAGCCTTAGATGCCAATTAACTATTAAACATATTTCCAAAACTTGACATTAAGGTTACATATGCAATTATAGTTGTTTTAAATCATAAAAAGATAGGGATCATCACGCCTTACATCTGTCAAAGCGGAACATAAAAACTTGATGTGTACGGGTATGTTCCATTGACAGTGGTCCAACCAAAATAGATGCGAACAAAAGGCCGATTTCTATCTTAGAGCCTTGGAATATTCAACCCAAATGTATACAAAACACTGTGAACTATGCCATTGGTCATCAATCAACCAAATCTAGATCTACGATCGATGTCTTCATCCGAATTTGTCTCGATCTCGACCTTCTTTGATATAAACCATATGACATTGAATTCGGACCCAAGATAAGTATCATGTTTACGTTATGGAAGAAACATGGGTATCTAATGAGAGAATGGAAAACACGCAATTCACTAGCGGTCGGTTTTTGTTTCGAAAATCATTAATAAGAAAGGAAAGGAAAGGAAAGGCATTATTAGATTGATAATAATAACTTTTTTTGAGACTTTAATGTTTGGTGATGGTACTTTTTATGTGGCTGAGAAAGGAATGGGAACCCTGCCTGCACTATCAATATACGCTGACGAGACACCAGTGAGAGTTGATAGATGATCAAAGTAGTCCATCGTGACGAATTCCACAAGAATTAACCACTATAGTTTCCAGGGGGAACCACTTGGAGATCAATCTGATAGGATATATTGCTAGCAATGAAGCTGTTAGATCCCATTACCTACAATCCTCCCCGCCCTCCTCCTACACGGTGATAGTACTTTTTTTTAATAGATGATAATGGCATGGTAACCCCACCCGCGCTATCGGTATACACCGGCGGGGCACCAGTGAAGGATGATAGGTGAGGATGAAATAGGTCAGTTAGCCCATTGTGACGAATTCAACAAGAATTGTTCACGATGGATTTCAGGGGGAACCACGTGGAGGTCGACCTAATAAGGCATATTGCTAGCAATGGGGCTGTCAAACTCTATTGCTAACAATCCCTTTGCCCCCGCCAGAGAAGAGTTAGTTTAGAGTAGCCTTTTATGATCGGATTAACCGTATGCTATCAGAGAGGAATTCAATGTCTTCGGAATTAGAGCGTATGGGATATGATTAATGTTTACATGAGATATGATGAAAGTGGATGAAGCAAGAGATGTTAACATGTAAGGTTAGATGCCTTTGCCAGACGTTTATCTGTATGTAATTAATATAATAAAAAAAATAATAATTATAATTCATTATTCATTATCAACGGTTTATACTTGTATCACTAAATCACATTTCTTAGTTAGCTACGTAATAAGTATTCAATAAAATTGTTTCTTACACATATTTTTTATGATAAAATAAGACAAAAGTGTCGTATAGTGCAGTACACAATTATATCTGGGATTCTGCCACTATGATAATTATATTATAAAAAGAAATATAAAAATCTGTTAGAAATTTCATTTTTTTTTATGATACTTAGAATGGCTGTTTGCCATGACTGACAGACTATTTGATTGAAAATGGTTACCGTCGTCTATAGAAATGGACAGCACTATAAACATAACAGAATAGTAATAATAATAGATTTTTTTTTCAATATGTTTAATTATGAACATGTTTAAATAATTTCTAAACATGTCTTATATAAATGAGTACAATGCACAGCAGGTATCTAGCTATGTACCTAAACTAAAAGTAAGACAGTTGAGTTATTAAATAAATGATATTATGTAAATGTAAATGGGTCTAATGCATACGAGGTCTGTCCGGAAAGTTCGTATAAAAGTGTTCTGGAATGCGAGAAAGAGGAGTGGGGAGGCCAGGTAAGCGCAGGACCCCTTCCTTATGTCCCTAACAATGCTTCAGTTCTGGTCTGACCGCCGTGCGGTGCGAACTGGCTTGTCACGCCATCTGTGAAGTTACCTCTTAACGAAACCCCGTCGGCATGGAGCCCGCTTCCGTTGAAGAGCAGCGCGTCGTAATCAAGTTTCTCTCGAAACTCGGCAAGAATGGCCGTGAAAGCAAAGAGTGGAAGACATCCGTCCCGCTCAAATGTCAAGACAATGTTGATTGTTTTTTTCGATGTTCGGGGGATTGTCCATCAAGAATTCGTCCCTCCAGGCCAGACAGTTGATGGAAAATTCTACGTCGATGTGCTCAGACGCCTCAAAGCTCGTGTGGCACGAGTTCGTCCAGAATTGGCGCGAGAGGGGCGTTGGATTCTTAACCACGACAATGCCCCTGCCCACACCTCTCTTGTTGTCCGTGAGTTTTTGAGTAAAAATTCCATTACGGTGACCGAACACCCCCCCTATTCGCCGGATTTGGCCCCGTGTGACTTCTTCTTGTTCCCAAAAACCAAATTGGTACTTCGGGGGCGGCATTTGGGGGACATAAATGAGATAAAAAAAGCTACGACGGGGCAGCTGAGAAACCTACAACCAGAGGACTTTCAAGGAGCCTTCTCACAGTGGAAACGGCGTTGGCACAAGTGCATTATGTCACAGGGGGAGTACTTTGAAGGGGATAAAATTGATTTACCTGAATAATTGTAAAATAAAATTTTTAAAAAACTTTTATACGTACTTTCCGGACAAACCTCGTATAGTGTTCATAGAAACGAGTTCTAAGATCATATAATTTTATAACATGTCTCAAAATGAATGATTATAACACCATATCCAGTGTCATATGGCACAATTTAAAATAATCAATCGATAAGTATCTATAGATAAATTTGCAACATTTAAATGACCTTCAGGATACAGCGTATAGCATATATTAATGGGCAGGTGTTGTGAAATGACCGCTTTATGTGTAAGCATTCAATAAGAGACTGTATAACTAGATTTACTTGTATGGGCTAGGGCTAGGGCCGTAAAATTATTATATTTATTAATTATAAACTTCAATTAAATAATTTTTTTTTATACCACTGAGGTGGCAAACAAGCATACGGCCCACCTGATGGTAAGTGGTTACCGTAGCCTATGAACACCTGCAATACCAGACGTATTATGCGTGCGTTGCCAACCCTGAAGAAACCTCTTTACCCCCCTTTTGAAGAACCCCATGCTGTAGTCTCTTGGGAAAACCTAGGCAGGGAGCTCATTCCACAACCTGAGTGTTGTGGAAATTTGAGTTTGTACAATTAAAAATTATATATATCTTTGAACCTGTGAATATATAAGCTGAACCAAAACTAAATTTCCAAAACTTCTGTACGCCTTTGAAAGAATGAATGAAAAAAAATTATTGGCTTTATACAATATAAGAAATAAGCAAGGCAATTTGACTATATTAGTC